ATTGCTATTATCCCTAACAAAACTGTTGTAAGAAGCCAGAGTTGACCTGTTCTGGACTTGCTTCTCTAAAAGGCTACACCATTCCCTGTGTTAGTGAAAGCTTCCATTCCCCAAAAATAATTCTCCATGAAAACGTTCTCCTCTCCTTCCCTGTCTCCAATGCATTAAACTCTGACTGTGTTGTCCTTCAGGAACCTGAAAAAAAAAAAAAAAGGGCAGAAACAGAAATATTGTGCTCCATAGGCTGGAAAAATGTGTTTTTCTCACTTCAGTGACTTTTGTGGAATTGTGTAGTGGAGAGAACATGTTTATAAACTGAATAAAATTGGTAGCGCTCTTCTTGCTGCTCTTGGGAGATTCTGGATTACCTTGGGTGCCTTCTCCACTATAGCTCTCAAAGATCCTTTTTGAAACCCTGCAAAATACTGAAAAGACTAGATGTTTAATTCTGCAGAAAAGGAGGATTAACATGAGACTAATAAATGCCTGTGAAAATAACATTTCATTTGCTAAAGTGAGAGGGGGAAAAAAGAGAATTAATAACATTGAGACTTAGGTTTTAGCTTCTAGATTAGTGGCTGAGGAATCATTAGTTCTCCTGTCCCTTTTCAGATATTGCTCCCTTTGGTATAGCAAATGGCATTTCCACCCACAACACTGCAAATATAGAGATAAACAAGCTGAGGTGGGGGGCAGGGAGCTGTCTGGTGATATGGAGGAAATCTTAAATAGCTTTGGTAGAACTACTTCATCACACCTTCCTACACCAAAACATTCCCAAGCAAAAAGCAACCTCTTGACCAGGTTATCTGGCCAGTGTTAGAAGCTGCTGTAGAGAAGTAAAATTGAAAGCCTAAAGAGGCAAAACAGGGGGAGGCAAGTTGAAGCACGAGGACTGTTTGTAAAGGCCAGCAGGAACTTCACTGCTAACATTATCCAACCCACTGGATAAATCCTGGTAAACAGAGCTTCTGAATAGCACCTAAATTGGAACTGGTTTTGAGAAACACTGAATTTTATTTTCTTAAGGACAGCAAAGAAAAGCAGATGAACATAGGAAAGAGGAGGGTTTGCCTAATTTATGTACAAGCACTGCAATTGCTTGTGGGAAACAAGCCAAACAGAATGCTATGTGTGGTATGTAGTAGCAATAAGAGTTTCTTACTAACATTTCAGATTTTAAGGTATTGGCTTGAAATTTCTTTCATAATGGAGCAGGGTTGTGGTTTTTTTGCTTCTTAAGGCCCTCATATAAAAATGATTTATTAAACTGCCCTTTGATCTGAAATGTACAGAATTTCCATTTCCTGTCGTTCCTACCGCAAACTTTAAACCCTTCCCAAAAAAACTCGGGATACAACTGCTGAATTACCTCAGTTATGTGGTCTGGCCAACCCAGGTTTGTGTCTCTGATGGTACCACTTTATTCACAGGTAGGTGACTGTAAGGAATTTTAACTGTCCTGACCTGGTTGATGGTGCTTCTGCTTAGTAGTTACCAATATTTAATTTAGATTATGCTATGAAGGAGCAGTGATGGGAGAGGAGAATAGTCTCTTTAAATTAAATCCAGGTTGAAACATGTTGCTAACCGGATGGAGTGCTCAGTGTTTGCTGCATCTGCTGGCTGTATGTCCCTGTGGTATTTCATGAGAGCTCCATGGGTTAGGTATGGTGCAAAAAACATACTTCCTTTTTGTTTCATGGTGTTCCTTCTCATATATTCTGAGAGATTATATGTTGAGCCCTCTGCTTTGGTTTGGGTTTTGGGGTTTTTTGTTTGTTTGTTTTGGGGTTTTTGTTTTTGTTTGGTTGGTTGGTTTTTGGTTTTGTTGTTGGTGGTGGTTTTTTGTTTTTGTTTTTTTAACAATCATGTTGCATCTTAATTGTTCCTTTTGTAAAAAGCAAGACTTTTGATCTTTTTGAGAATTTTTCCGTACTTTATTGAGCTTTGCCTTTGTAAAAACTGACAGATCAAGTCTCCTTAACCCATCTAATTCTCGGCTGTGAGTTTCCAGCAGGGAGTGGTGATAATACCTAACAAACAAACCAAGCACAGTATGATTTTTCTTTCTCCCGCTCCCACTGTCCAATATTAGGTGATTCCTGAACCTGAGGCTGCTTCTCAACATTATGCTTAACAGCCACTGGTCGATGTGTTTATGTAGCCCATTTTGTAGCTGTTCATACTCCTGGCCTATACAGCATTGGATTCCACCAGGTATTACTAGAGAAAAGTACTTTCGCTTGTTTGTTCCACACTTGCTGCCTCACCCTTTCATCCTAAGCTCCCATCAAATTGTATTTGCTAGCTTTGTCTTTTTCTAAGGTTCTTTTTGAAGTCTAAGTAGCCTGAACTGAGTGAAGAGGGACAGAAGAGGATGTATGATGAATTTGCATGGTTTTTGTTATGGTTTCTGTCAGCAATTTCTTAGAGTGAAACAATTGGTATTCTCACTGCAGCTGAACATAAGGCAGGTGCTTTCACTGAGGTGTTACTTTATCCCAGTACTTGAGATTCACAGCTCCTGATGGTCCTTACTGATGTGAGGAGAAAGAGGCAGGAGGTACAAGTGAGTTGGTGTTTTTACAGTGGGTGAAGAGAAACACAGACACAGTCTAGCTTTGCTATGGGTGTAATGTAGGTTCTTGCCTGCTAATTTCTCTTCTCCTTGGACTTCTCTCTGGAAGTCTACATGTGGCTAACTCATTTCTCACAGCATCTGAATCTCCAGATGCCTGAAGAGTCTGATGCTGGGAAATTGCAGCCTGAGACTGAGGAGTGATTAACCACAGTCCTCGGTCTTGGTGGTAACAATATAACATAACATGTAACTTGTAAATCCAGCTAGAAGGGAAAATTATTTCCTGTAAGAATACTTGTGTCCCTGTACTCCAGTAGTCTTTTGCTGGTCTATGGTATTCCTTCATCCTCCTCACTGTTTGTCTGACTTGTCTTGAGTTACCACCAAGCCAGTTCAAAATGTTATTTTCACTTTTCCCTTGCCTGCATTTACTATTTAGAGAAAACAGTGGTGTTTAGCTTTGTCCATAAATACAAAACCATTCTGTAGCAAGTATATGCAGCTTTTGCAGCACCTGAAATTTCAGTTTGAGAGCAATCAGTTTCTTATAAACTGTCAGTGTTTGAGATGTAACAGATCCAGCCCAGGAACTGTATGATGGGTCTGTAACATCCCTGCCATCTTTCCTGTGATAATATTCTTCAACAGTCTACATTTGTGGGAAGGACTATGTCTTGATAGTGCAGATGAAAGATGGAGGAGGACAATTGTCTGAAGAATACCAGCTAACAGCAGAAATTGGCTTTTCCTGGCTCACAGATAAAATATAGAAAACTCCAAACAAAGCTCCTCCCCTGGGTACAGGACACTAAACGTCAGCTCAAACAAACATCCCTGGCATTTAATGAGATCCGCTTCCTCAGATAATAGTGAGATCCTTTGCTGATATGATGTAGTTGTCATGGTTACAAAAGGACCAGCTGCTAAAAACAAAGTATCGGAAAGATGAAAATGGAGAAAATCAATGTCCAAGCAGAAAAGACGTACAGCAGAGAAGATGATTTGGAGATCAGGGAGAAATAAAGGGAATGGGGTCAGCAGCTAGGGAATTCAACAGGAAATAAAAGCAAGAGGAAAGAAAGTTCAAAGGTAGATAACTAGAGATGTATGATCCAGAAGCAGACCTTGAGGGAACTTGACATGCTTATGTTTGTAATTAATGAAAAGCCTTCAAAGAGAAGTCTGGAAACAATATTCCATAGCAAAAGTCCCTTTTGGCTTATTCTCTTTGAAGCTTTGCACGTTATATCTTAGGCAAGAACGAACTGTGGAAGACAAAGTTATGCTCTGATACTGAAGGGTGGACAGTGACTTCTTCCACCAAGATGATACAGCAGAGGTGAAAAACAGTGTATAGGATGTTGGAAAGATTTGCATAGAGCACCTTCTCCTGTTATTGACATTTTGGCCAAATTCCTTCTGAAAGATGTAAATCTGCAAGATTTAGCCTCTGTGTGCTGTGCCCTAGTTTTGAGGAGGTAAAGATTTAGATGGCCTTTTTTTGTTAAGTTGGTGAAAGCTAATTGAACCTCTTGTTCTGATAAAAAGTAATGAAAAGAGTATCTGAGATAATAAAGTGAGCCTGATAGCTTGATGTGAGTTAATATCATAGTGATTCCCTGAGCAAGTGGGTTGGGATCCTCAATTAATTCCTGCAGCAAAATGGGAAATCGGGTTTCCATGGATACTGAGCCAGCAGCAGCACTGACACTCACAGCAATTGCAAGCTAGTTTCCCTAAGGCTTGCTTGCTAAGGAGGGTTCTCCCCCTGCCTCCCATGATCTGTATTCCATATTTTTAAAGAAAAAGAGGCAGATGGACATTTGAGGAACAGGTAGAAACAAAAAATATTATCCCCGTACCTAGTAAAACTGTGTACAAGAAATGCAAGTGATTTTATTGCATAATTTTAATCTACAATTAGGAATAAAATATATTAAAACTAGGGAACGAAAAAGGCTGCAGCCCACTGAGGTTTTGACAGTCACTGAGGATGACAGCAAGGCCTCTGTCAGGACAGATTTATAACCAAGGACACAGTAAGAGCAGAGTACCAGTGCAGGGCTGTAGGTGGTTTAAACATTGCTGTTCAGCCAGGTGATTGCAGCAATGTGTTTATTAGCACTCGTGAAAGAAAAATGGAAGAAAAAAAAAGATGTGTTGTATCTGCCAATTGAAAATCCAATAAAAAATACAATATAGAAAAGCCAAATTGTTCTTACTCAGAAGCTCACTGCCAGACATAGTGATAAGTGATGTACTCGCATTAAAAACATGTAAGACAAGTGAGAGGAAGAAAGATATTTGGCAATTATGTGTGGTTTTAAATCCTCTCTGATTCATAGCAGTATCAAGCACTGTATTTTTATTTGCTGTAGGATAGAAATTTGAGGAAACTCACCACCTTATTTACGCCATGTACCCGTCCATCAAACACGGGATGAACACTGGTAACATCCATGAAAAAAGGCAGTATAACTAGAAATGTCTTCAACATTTGACCTGTGACCTGTTGCTCCTACTCAAGAATTTATAGTGACAAGTTGGTGATAATCAGAAGTTAAGCCTGGCTGTGCCCAGCCCCTCCGACCTCTGAGGACTAACTGAAATGCAAGGGGGGGGTATTTTCTTCCAAATTTCATATTCTAATGGAACACATAGTTTATTTGTAAAGTGACCATGACTGTTGCAGCCACTGCATGGAGCTGCTGCCCTTTGCTGCCACAGCCTGAGTGGGTTAAAGATCTGCCTTTGAATTGCTCATGTGCTTGGGTTATGGTTAGTCAATTATATATATATATATATACACACATATATATATAGTGATGTGCTGTGGTATATGTGTGTGTGTGCATGATTACGCCTACAACACTTGAGCATGTGCTAGCATGGGATAGGAAGCTGAATGATGTAAAAGAGGGAGGGTGCTGTGGCTGGGGCATTGCTGTTGTGAGCTGGAAGCCAACTGGAATAGAATCTCCCTTCAGTACTCTGATTGGATTATCAGCCAATGTCATTCAAGAAGAAACTCCTATCTTCTGAATTCTTGTTACAGGCTGGAGAGAATATGAGATATGTGGCTGTAATAACACCTTTTTTTTTTTTTTCCATGTTACTCTCTATCAAGCACTGCAGTGAGGGTGGAAAAATCCCCAAACTCTTGGGGTTTGAAAATTGCAAGACAAATCTTCAGAACAATAAGCCTCTGTCCTTGCTATAATGTCCTGAGTATGCAGCAGTGGTTTGTTTTTGTTCATTAGTGAACTATCATAGCAAGAGGAAGAGTATTCTGCATAGATATTTCAGGTTAAGCAGAAAGGCATTGTAGTTAAGAGCTCATAGGTATTTCTGTGATGAATTTCCTAGTGTTTTGCTGTCTAACTCCCAAATCTTTTGTTGTCAGGGTGGTTTGCCTCTGTGGTCGTGTGAAATCTTGTAAATAAACAACCCGTGGCACTGTTTGTGTTACAGAAAGTAGGAAATGTCATTTAAAATGGCATTGTCACATCACTAAGTTTGCCAGCTGGAGTACTGAATCATAGAATCCCAGAATGGTTTGGGTTGGAGGGGACCTTAGAGATCATTTAGTTCCAACTCCCTTGCCATGGGCAAGGACACCTTCCACTAGACCACTCTCATCCACCAGCCCCCACGAGTCCTTCTCAGCAGGGCTGCTCTCTTACCTGTTCATCCCCCAGCCTCTGTTGATACTGGAGGTATCAATATATACTCTGTCCAAGGTGAAGCACCTTGCTTATTTATTTTCAGTAACTTACAACATCTTGAGAGAAAAGAAGATCTTCGTGCCTGGCCTGGTTCCAGCTGGGATAATTTTCTTCTTAGTAGCTGGAGCAGTGCTGTGTTTTGGATTTAGTATGAGAATAACGTTGATAACTGATGTTGATGAACACTGATGTTTTGTTGCTCAGTACCCTAAGTCAAGGACTTTGCAGTTTCCTGTGCTCTGCCAGTGAGCAGGTGCACAACAAGCTGGTGGGGAACATGGCCAGGACAGCTGATCCAAACTGGCCACAGGGATATTCCACACCAGAAAATGTCAACTGGGGGCAGTTGGTCAGAAACTGGCCATTGCTGCTGGGCTGCAGGTGGTGAGCAATTGTACTGTGCATCTTGAGTTTTATTTCTCTCTCTCTTTTTCATTACTATTATTGTTATTATCATTATTAGTAGCAGTATTATATTTTACTTTGTTTCAGTTATTAAACTTTTCTTATGTGAGCCCAGGAGTTTTCACTTTCTTCCTGACTGTCCTTCTCATCCCATCGTGGGGTGGGGACTGTGTGAGGTAGAGGCTGCATGGTGCCTAGTTGCTGGCTGAGTTTAAACCACAACAGTCCTTTTTGGTGCCCTGTTGTGGAGCACCAAGGGGTGAGATAATGACAGCTCTGACCAGAGTGTGTTAAACCAGATTTGTTACAAGCATTCATTGTATTGGTTTAGTAGTCACTGGTCCCAGTGTTGATTTATTTGCACTCAGAGTTGTTGTGCTTTTTCCCAAGGCTGTGTTATGTAACACTTTACTTGCAGTGTGTGTTCCTTGTGCTGGGCTAGGAACACACAATTAAATTGCTCTTTCACAACATTTTTCTTTCTGTCACTACCACCAGCCCAACTTCCCCTACAGAATACAAGGCCCACATCAGAGGCTACAGTTTCAGCTGGGCAGTAGTTGTGAATGATGAAGTGCTTTCTGCTTATAATTTGTATTTCTTTTTTTTTAATCTTACCCCAAATGAAATGTTAACCTAATGTCAGAAGACTTCCTTAGCTTCAGTACATTGAGTCTGCCTGGCATCCTAAATAATCCTTCATGTCTAGAGATACACACACATACGGTAGATGGCATCAGTGATTTTTGTTCTGAAGAAGAAAGTGAACGACCAAAGGAGGAAAATGATTGCTTGTGTAACAGCAGCAGTGAGATCCCAGCACTGGCAGAGGCATCTCTTGTCTTTGTTCATTGGTAACACTTGTTGAATGCTCATAATTGTTACCTGCTTTTCTTTTCTTCCACTACCTTCTTACCTTTACCTTACTGATATTTCTCATATATTAATTCTGCAGGGACAAAGAGGACACCAGTATATGGTGAATCATCTTACTCATCCTGATACCATAGGAGACCTAATACCATTTGTCACAGGGCTAACAGCAAACGGAGGGAAGCGTTGTCTCTTGGCAACTGCAGCCAAATTACCTCAACTGGAGGATTAAGGTTCACCAGAGCAGAGGTGCTCTTCAGCACCAGGGAAATGTTTGGGTACTTCAAGTACTGTACTGGCTTTTGAAGTCTGTTAATCCATGTGTCCCAAATGAACTATTTTTAAAGGGTTTTCTTTAAATCAGAGCAGGAAAGCCTGAGGGGAAAGCCCTCAGCTGCCTTAGATTTCTGAGAAAAATCGATGACGTCATCTTGCTGCTCATCTGTAATGTCTGAGATCAGGAAAAAAACCAAGCAAGCAACCCGATCCTTACACAATCCCTGCTCTATTTAATTTTTGTAGAGCATAACTTGCTCTAGAGTCATCACAGGGAAGAGTTCCCTCTCCTGGGTGATGGACAGCTCTGCCACAGCCGGCAGGAGCAGCACGGTTTGAGGGCCTGTGCACAGAGCAAAGAGAACCACATACCACAGTGGGGGGAGAATTCTGCAGCAAACATTGTCTCAGTCACTACAGCAAAGCCATGCATTCAAAAAACCTGGTTTTCACTCCTCACAGGACCAAAAAGGCTGCTGAGATTTAAGTATTTCCTCATTTATGAGTGCATTTATACCCATTCCCTCTGTGCCCCATCCAAAAGTGACAGGCTTTTATTGTAATGAATGCAACTGCAAAGAAAGAAAAATTAATTATAAATAAGTTTAATATATCTGTAGAATATCCTGCAGTACAGTGCATAAAAATATCACAGTTTTTAAAATCAGGTGGCTTGGTTCTGGAGTGCAGGGTGAGAGGATAGGAACAATTCTACAGCATTTCTTTAAAAAGCTGCAATAGCCCCTCTTTTCTAATTATTCGGGCAGAGAATGATAAAATTGGAGAATAATAAAACTTTTTAAAGGGATATCTAATAACTTGTTTTACAGTCTGGAATATTAAAAACAGTATCCAGGGGAAACAGAGGAGAGAACAGGATAAGGTAGTTGGAGGTTCAGGATAAAGACAATTGAAGGCATGTGTATTTGAACAATTAGTGTGAGACCTAGAGAAATTATGATTGATGCTGTTATTATTACATATCCAGGCAAAAACAACATTTCTGAAAGAAAATGACTGAATTTTGCCAAAAGTCAGTGGGCATTCCAGACACAAGGAAGCTGTTTGTGGATGAAGTGAAAAGTGCATCTAATTGAACCAAAATTTGTATTAGAACACCAGGCAAGTTACAAAGATAAAGTCAATTAACTTTTCTTGCACTCAGAGTTGAACTTAGTTAATTCAGTGCCAACAGTGACCACTCTACTTTTAGTCACAGTACAGGTTGGCAAGACTTGAAGTAAGCTGGTCATGAAAACAGCAGTTAACAAAAAATATCTGAGAGAATTGAAAAGGAAGAAAGCAATAGATTTTTTTTTCATCTCTTTGCGATTTCGGATTTGGAAAAACAAAACAAAATTTGTCTGAATTATGTAGTTCAATACCAGTAAAGGAATATTGGGCCTAACATATGCAGAGTGTATGAATGAAATTCTCTGGGAATCAGGCAGGTCCTTCTGATCTTGAAAAAGAATAGCATAAAGAAAAAAGGGAAAGAAGGATGCAATGGCTTCTGCAGTGTCAGTAAACATGTTCAGAAGCCAAAACAAACTACGGTGTTTGTAGAAAAAGTCAAGTTCTGCTACTCATCCCTTTCTAACAGAGCTCCACACTGTGACAGGCTGGTGAAAAACAGACTAGTTGTAATCATTATGTATGGCACGTCACAAACCCTGCAGCAGGTATTTGTTAAAAAACGAAAAGCACCAAATCACATTTTCAAGACAGAGGTCTGGCCTGGTGCACTGACGTTTGAAAACTAGTACGATTTCTCTCCACAAAGAGCAAGTGCCAAAGAACAGATGTGTATTAGCTGCCATTCGGTACCGCCAGCTGCGGATAAGCGGGAGCCTTCCCCATTTTTCCCGGAGGCATCGTGCGGCTACAAACCCATCGCTGGTTTTAAGCTGGAAATGCCTCAGTGTGGGAGGCACCGCAAAGCGACACTGACAAGGCACTGCCCTAAATATAGCAACTCGGTTAAACCCGTGCACACGGCAGAAGTTTAAATATTCCATAAAAGCGGGCGGGCAGAGCCC